TTTTCCACTGTGTATACACTGTCTTTAAAACACTTAATGGATATATTCTCAGTATAAAACTCTCAGATAACACAGATATATTTTTAGTAAAAACTGATGTTCTCCCTCTACTCCACCCAATATCAGCACCAGTCTTGTTCTTTTCCCTTAAAGTTACTTTCTCCTTCTTACCCCCAAAACACAGTAGGTATGTTGTCAGTCTTCATGTAATCCAGTGATATTTTCAGTTTAACCAGGTTAACTGGAAAGAATTTACAGACAGCTGTGATGTGTAGCAAATAAATGTCTTTATCATAGTAGTGGTAAGAGAAAGAATTAAAACAATCTGGGGCAGTATTTGATTTAAGAAGCCTGCCTACTCTGTGTTATTCAACTTACAGTGATATCAAAGTTTTCTATTTTTAAAAAAAGACATAGTAAAATTAAAATAACTTTACTGTTTTTAGGGAACATTATTACAGCAGCCAGATGATCGTGCAACCACTACATCACTTTCTTGGAAACGCGTAAAAGGATGCAGATCTAGCGAACAGAATGGAATGGAGCAAAAGACTATTATTTTAATACCCTCTGGTTAGTTTATTCTTTTTGCCCTGAATATCACAAAGAGAATTATATGACTTTTTATTTAGGAGCTTTGCTCCAAGTGAGAGTGATTTTCATTCCTTAGCAAGATTAAAAAGGAAGGCAGCATTTTCTCTAATGGCTATAATATAGAAATAGCTATTTAAAGATGGAGCTTGAATTTTTTTAGAATTGTCTTTGATATCTCTGTGTACCATTAATATTGAATAGAAGCTAAATCTTGTGAGTTTTTATGCCTTTCTCTAAATTCACTTATCACTCCTTTGTGTCTTCATTGTATCCTGTAAAACCAGGGGTGCCAAACTCATTTTCACCAGGGGCTACATCAGCCTCATGGTTGCCTTCAAAGGTCCGAAACAATTTTAGGACTGTATAAATGTAACTGTCCCTTAACTGTTGGGGAGTTGAAATTACATTCAGCCCTTTGAAGGCAACTGCGAGGCTGATGTGACCCCCAGTGAAAATTAGTCTGACACCCCTACTGTAAACATTTCTGACACAGCACTTGATTGCATTTATTTCTGTAGCTATGGTTTTGCACCATAAACTGGAAAACCCAGAAAGAGCTTATTTGCCTTATTTTCCCAGTACCTGACACATAGTGGGTGTTTAATGATAATCATTGACTAGACGAATGAATACTTAGGTATCTCCTTGTTTTTCAGATTTAGCGTGTAGACTGCTGGGGCAATCAATGGATGAGAAGGGATTACCACAGCTGACCAGTTACGATTGTGAAGTTAACGCTCCTATACAAGGCAGCAGAAACCTACTGCAGGGCGAAGAATTACTCAGAGCGTTGGATCAAGTTAACTGAGCTTTTTCATAATTTCATTCCTTTTTTTGGACACTGGTGGCTCATTACCTAAAGCAGTCTATTTATATTTTCTATATCTAATTTTAGAAGCCTGGCTACAATACTGCACAAACTCTGTTAGCTCAATTTTGATCCCCTTTTACTTAATTTACGTTAATGCCAGATCACAGGTAGCACATTCTCACAGTTCTTTGGTATTTAAACCATTGCATTGTAGTAGCATCATTTTTAAAATGCACCTTTTTATTTATTTATTTTGGGCTAGGGAGTTTGTCTCCTATCGAATTATTTTTAATAAGATGCCAATATAATCTTTTTAAGAAGGCAGTAACCTTTCATCATGATGAGTTTGAAAATTTTTTTACTCAGTTTTTTCACATTTTATGTAAACAATAATGATTTGCCGGCAGTACATGGTAGCCACAATTGCACAATATATTTTCTTAAAAAAATACCAGCAGTTACTCATGCAATATATTCTGCATTTATAAAAATAGTTTTTAAGAAGAATTTTTTTTGGCCTATGAAATTGTTAACCCTGGAACATGACATTGTTAATCATATAATGATTCTTAAATGCTTGTGTGGTTTATTAAATGGGTAAAGCCATTTACATGATATAGAAAGATATGCATATATCTGGAAGGTATGTGGCATTTATTTCGATAAAATTCTCAATTCAGAGAAATGAACTTGATGTTCTATAGTCACTTTGCCAGCTCAAAAGAAAACAATACCTTACATGTAGTTGTGGAAGTTTATGCTAATAATGTGTAATTGATATTAAACCTAAATGTTCTGCCCACCCTGTTGGTATAAAGATGTTTTGAGCAGATAGTGAACAAAAATCATGCTTTGTTAGCAGAATTGCCTAGTATGTTAATTTGCTCAAAATTTGATGTTTGGTTTTATGCACTTTGTCGCCATTAACATCCTTTTGTTTTCATATAGATTTCAATAATTGAGTGATTTTAGAAGTATTATTTTAGAAATATATAGTTGTCACAGTAACCATCTTGTTTTTTCTATGTGCATTGTACAAATTTTTCATTCCTTTTGCTCTTCGTGGTTGGATCTAACACTAACTGTATTGTTTTGTTACTTCAAATAAACATCTTCTGTGGACCAGGCCCCCCTTTGATCCGCTTTTATGTTGATGTTTATTTCAGTACCTCCAACTCCTAAAATTGTTTGCCAACAGTCTAAGAATTTTATGAAAGTTACATTGGCACAGCATTGATTATTCCTCCATTTATCTTTTGCTATCACCTTAATGTACATTGTGTCTCTAAATGTCATGTTAAATAACAAACCATAATGTCCCACTGTAAAGAGGATGCTTTTAGAAAAGAAATCTGTTTGTAAGTTTATGATCCTATTAAAACAACTTTAATGTTTTAATATGAATGGGATGAGTGAAACATCATGAACATTACAGTCACACAATGTTGTAAGGGCTAGAACGTCCTCCAAAGATTTCTACCCATTGTCAGTTGGCTAGATAGAGCGCTGTCCCAATAAGCTAGGGTTGTGGGTTCAATGCATAAATAAGTGGGACAACAAATCAATGTCTTTCTCTCAAACCAAAACAAAATTTTTAGGAGATTTCTAATCTATTCCTATTCAGAGATGAAAAATTTAGACCTCAGATGCTACAAGATTACACAATTTGTCTAAGTCCTAAAGTAATGCCAGACCAGAGACTTCATTAAACTTAGGTTTTCTGACTCTAACACAAAATAGAACCTTGTTTTGTTTTAATGACACTGCATATTTAAATTTTTAAAAATAGACGTGTTTTATCTCAGATTTCTATGAAATTGCTGTATTTCTTTTCTAATGATAAAAGCAATACACTCTCCTTTTTTTAAAAAAAAAAGCACAAAACAATATAAAATGAAATAGAAAAGTCACTGTGAATCCCCACATCTAGAGGTAACTGCAGATTATTTTTATGGACAAATTACATAGATAGTGCCAGAGTCGTAGGTACTATAGCCTGACATTTGAGGAACAAAAGATCCTGAACAAAATAAGCCCTGGATCTTGAGGATCTTGAGCTGTTTTTACCGTAGAGTAAATAAAATGTGACTACAGTTGCATAAATTTGGGAACAAAGTTTACAATACTAAAACTCGATGCAAGATTTTGGAGTACATGTATACTTCAATATAAATACTATGGTCCAAACTGCTTGTGTATTTCACTAATTACAAATAGTACTAGAGGTGGTATTTTAGAATAAAGTAGTTCTTTAATATTCTCAGGTCAAAATATCCAAAATCTTGCTTATTCTGATAGCAAATTACCTTGAGTTGAAAACTAGATCTTTACAGTCTTCAAATATTAGTAAATGGTCAGATTGTGTAATGTCTAGGAAAATTACTTGTTAGAGCAGAGATTTAGAGGAGAAGGCCACTTTAAAGAACAGTAAAGCTGGAAGAAAACAAGTACCCACCTCTGGATCACTAAAAAACAAGCCCCCTGGAGTGCTTGAAATTGAAATAGCAGAACCAGCCTTTCATTCCCAGCATTATGCTCTCACACCATTGCAAACTTTTTCAATATTTTTATCCAGGAAGTATAATCTTACCCTAACAATTACAATTCTATAACAGCCCTTCTCCCTTAATATTCCTGCCCCTCCCTTCTCTGGTGCTGCTATGAATAAATGATCATTTTATTATTTTCACACTTGAAGCAAGTATGGTAAAGGAACTTAGGGTATCTTGTTCTTTTGTTCTAAGCCTCACTATTAACCTTGGAACTGGAAGTAGTTTCTCAAGCAGTCTCCCAGTGCTGGGTAAAATGACAAAGATCAGGAGTTAAAATGAATCTAAGATCTCTTACTATATGGTAGCTTTGTGCTAAGCGTTTTGCATATTATCAGACAATCTTTAAAAAAAACTTATGAATTAGTACTTGTATCTCCTGTGGATGAGAAAATAGCTTGGAGAGGCCACCTAAGGTTCAGAGTATTCGAGCAGGTCATCAGTAACTCCATAAGCTAGTGGTGCTAACCACTTTGCAGTCCTAGGCAGTCCAGTAGAACATTTTCTCCTATTAACTATTTAAATAGCAAGCGGGGAAGCAGTGGATGTGGAGGGAATTGAGAGTGGGTGTCGCTTAATGAAATCATACAGGACATGAAAGAGATGCCCTAAGAGGAATGGCAAGACATAACTAGAAATTAATGAAAGTGGTTTTTTAAGTCATTTTTTTTTCAAAATTCCTATTACAGCAATATGAAAAACAAACTGCAAAGAACATGGAATTTTTTTTAAACAATTGGGTTTGGTTACTGGCCTTTGCAAACATATTGATAGCTGGAACCAACAAAAATGTAAAGAAAATTGTTTTACTCGGTTGTTTTGTTTCTAAGTCTGCCACTTAGTCATTTGCTTGTATTTCAGCCCTTTAAATAGCGTTGAACCTGTCCCCCCAGATCATTTTACGGAGAATTAGTTTAATCTGTACAATTGATACGAACTAGTCTACCTATAAGATAAAAGCTACACCTTACCACAAATCTGAATGCCTTCTGGAGCTTTGTTGTGTTCACACCTTTCAGAGGTTTGGACATAACTTTTATTCTTACCTGTAGTGGACGGTTTTACCCAAGACGCTGCTCAGACACCCGATCTCCTCGCATTATTTTATGTCCTTTATACTCTCCTTGTCTTGGCTCCGTTCCGGGAAGGAGAGGAAAGGCAGGTGCCTGAGAGCGGCAGCGATCAGACCCTCATCAGAGAAAGTACCAAGGATGCGGAAGGGACCTGACGCCGCTTTAGTCCCCGGTGCCGCCGGTACTGCTTAAGGATGCGAAATTTAAGCTGCCAGGAGAAACCTGAGTCCCGCCCACCGCTCTGCAGGTCACGCCCCCATACGTGCTCCGCCGCTGCACCGCATCCCCAGCCCGCCCTCTGCCCTGTGGTGCGGGCGCGAGACTGCCGCTTCTGCTCCGGGCTCCCGCGTACTCCCGCGTACGTGTGAGATCGCACGTTGTGAGGCCGGGCCCTCCCGGCTGGCCCCTCCCAGCCTTTGGACGGGCGGGCCGTGCGAGAGGATCACCACTGCCCTTTGCCCTTGGTGACTTATCCAATTCTGGTGTCCAGCCCTTCCCCAAACTTCTTTGGATAGGGGTGGGGGTGGGGGAGGAGGTGGTGCAGAATGATACTACGTGTTGCTGTAGGACTGTCTCCTTAATTCCCAATCTAATGCTCTGGGGTGTGAAGATGTGCTTTGTAGAGTAGAGAAAATATTTGAGGTCTCCTAACAGCCTAGACCTTGGTTACCTACATAGTTTAAAAAAAAATAGTTATCTACTAATCTGATCTGTGTAAATATATTCTCCACAAGGCACTCAAAGATTAGGTTTATTTTAAATAAAACACTTTGAGGTGTCTCGGATTAAGTAAATGGAAACGTGAGCTGCCCCAGGTGTTTCTGTTTTGTTTTTTGAATTTGTTGAGTGCACCTTATTAAGGCCAGCTATTGAGAGTCCTTTGGGAGAAGGTAATCTTGATGGGCAGAAGGGCGGTGAGTTTATGGAATACAGAAAAGTTTGGGGCTCTAAATTTAATCTGCTGTAATTAGTATGTTAGGATTGCGCAGTTTGTTGTAAAGGTCAAAGGCAGGTATTGTTTTAGAATAAATAACCTCTGCATATCCATAGCTGACTACAGTTGACATTTTATTGTAAATTATATTCCTCAGGAAAATTCATTGTTGATAATTTTTCAAATACAATTTCCTAGAAAATAATGGTCTATTTTCTTAAGTGGTCAAGATATTTTAATTTTTTTTTATATACTAATAAAACTGTTCAGTAGCCTCAGTTGTGGTGTGTTTATTTTTAATTAGAAAGATGCCATGTAAGGAGAGTGTTACATCTTTTGGTCTTATGGATGCTTAATAAATCAATATAAACTGGTGATTCTCCGTAGAGAACAGGCTGGGGGAGGAGGTGGGGTGCAACGTTTATCACAAAGGGGGATAAATGCATTTTAAAACATTGAGAAAATATCATGTATAGCCTGGCAAGTAAACTAGACTCTGTTAAGTCAGATCTATTTTTAGAGATTTTTGAAATATTAAAACATTAAGCGATACTATTTTATGCAAAGATCCTTTCCAGATATTTCTGGATGATATTAATTTGGTCTTTGAAACAGATTTTAATGTTTCTCCACACAGCTGCAATGACAAACTAATGGGAGCACTGAACAAGCAGTGGGCGAGCCACTCTAAAGTGTTGCCTCATTCCCTAGTCTGCTGGTAGAATATTTAAAGCAACAGCCCAACCAGAGTGAACTACTAACACTGCAAATCAGAGAGGAGCCAGCATACTGAATTTGCCTTTTTTTCTTGCCAAATTCAACTGCAAGTACTTGCCACCCCTAAGTACTTACATGTCAGGTCACCTTTAGCTTTCTTCTCATTTTTTTTTTTTACCTTCTATGATCATTTATGTATGTCTTATTTCCCCTACTAAACTCATAGTTCCTTCAGAGCATGATTCCCATCTGATTCATCCTTGACTGTTTTTAAAGCCTCCGCCTCTCTTTGCACAAGGCCAACTCACACATGATGGAGGTGGGAGAGGAAATCATGTGACATGGGGACCAGAAAAGAATTACGATCCGAGTTGCAGAATGGGGAAAACAGGACCGCATTAAACAAAAACCTTCACAGCCCAGAACTTGTGAAAGTAAGTTTATTGAGCCATTTGCCTTCCAGAAAAAGGACCAGGTCTTGGGATACTGTCTAAACCACCTGCAGCCGCAGGACTCCTGTATGCAATGTTTGGGGAAAGAAAATGGAAGTTTTTCTGAAAGAATTTGCATTGACCGCAGAGAAGGCGGTGGGAAAAGATGAGGAAGGGGCAGTTCTAGGATAATTGCCTAGCTCATAAGGAAGAGATATTTACTACTTCTTGTTTAGCTGTGGGCGAGAGTCTGAAAGTTCATGTATAAAGCAGGATGCTCAAAGTTTCAATAAGCATCCAAGAATGTGAATAGTTTTACGACTTTTTATTGTTACTCTGTTACAGTTGTCCCAGTTTTCCCACCTTTGCCTTCCTCTGCCCATCCCACTCCCCACTCCCACAGTCAATTCCCACACTGTTGTTCATGTCCGTGAATCATTCATACATGTTCTTGAACTAGTCCCTTCCCCTTCTTTCTACCATAATCCCCCTCCTTCCTGAATAGTTTTTTGTTAGTTTTGGCCCACAGATGTTAACTGAGTGCTTTAGTTGTCTCTCTCCCCCACTCTTCAGCCCACTGTAATTTAATTTAGGACATTGAAGAATTTATCTCTTGCCAACCATTTTCAGGCTCTCCCAATGAAGCCCATTATTCAATGAATAATTACTGAGTGTTGGATGAGTTCAAGATGTTTGACTTGTTCTTTCTGAATGTCTGTGTCCTCTGAAATTCATATGTTGAAATCTAATGCCCAAGGTGATTAGTATTAGAAGGTAGGGACCTTTGGGAGGTGGTTAGATCATGTGGATGGAGCCCTGCTGACTGGGACTCATACCCTTATAAAAGAGACTCCAGAAAGCTCCATTGCCCCTTTGGCCATGTGAGGATACAATCAAAAGTCAGCAATCTGCAATCTGGAGCAGGGGTCTCCCTAGAACTTGGCCCTGCTAACACTCCGAGCTTGGACTGCCAGCCTCCAGAACTGTAATAAACTTGTTGTTTATTAGCTACGAAGTCTGGTATTTTGCAGCAGCAGCTTGACCAGACTAAAACAGTGTCATTCAAAGATGTAATATTGTGATATAAATATTCTAAAATATGGCACCTGCCACTGAGAGCATGGTTAATTCCCACTCTGTGCAGTAGACACACATTCATTGGGCAAACAACTGAAGTCTAAAAAGAACTTTTATTGGTCATTTAAGTTGTGCTAAACCACCATTGCCCCCTCCTTTTTATGATGGTCTCTACTTTGATAATCTATATCCAGGCCAGATGGCTCCCCACAGGCACCTCAGATTTGGCGCCTCAACAACTGTCTCCAAACTGTCCTCCTCCTGCATCATGAGTGGCACCACCCAGTCTCCAAAATCAGCTCTAGAGATCACTCGTCATGCCCTTATTCACCACATCCAGTCTGACTCAGCTCTTTTCTTTCTTTAAAGGTTCATTATGGATGAGGAACATTATACTAAGTAAAATAAGCCAGTCAGAGAAAGTCAAGTACCATATGATTTCACTCATGTGGAATCTAATGAACAAACTGAACTAATAAGCAAAATAGAGACAGACTCATAGACAGCAGGCTGACAGCTCTGGGAGGGAGGCCTGCGGGTAGAGGTGGAGAGAGAGAGAGAACTCACCAACCAGACAACAGTGTGGTGATTGCAGGAGGGGAAAGGGTTGCGTGGAGGTGGGAGAGGGTATAGGCGAGATAAGTAGTGGTGCAAAATCTCAACCAATGGAGAAAATGCTCCAGAGAATGGCAGGTTTGCAGTTTATTTTATAGATTAGAATCAAAGGAGGAGATGTAAGGAGGGTTAACTCTGTTAGTGACAGATTAAGGGAACAGGAGAAAGCAAAGTGGGGAAGTGTCTGGGATTTGGGATAAAAAGTAAAACAGAGATATACTTTTGTTTACACTGGTGGGCACAGGGGTAATTAACATTTGCAGCACAAGGAACAAGATAACAATGACCGTTTCTGTCATCTGGTGTTCAGGTGAGAGATTGTGCCCTCAGGGGTCTGGAAAAGGGATTACTCTGATATTTCAAAAAGTATGTACTCTTAGATGCAAAAAGACAGTAGACAGGCCCACCGAAGGTAAAGATTGACCTTTGTCAAGGAATCTTCAGGCCCAGGAGGTGACTACGCTGCCATGACCGCTTGTAGTTAGGGACTTTTACATAGTCCATCCCAGGTGGTTGCTTTCAGTCCCTGAGCCCGTAAGACCCGTCATGCCGGCCTCCTCCGAGCTTGTCTGGTTTAGGATGTGGTTTCTCTTTCAACCATGGCTCTTTCGTTTTTGTCGCTAGATTTTCTTTAATCACCCCCTTCTCGACATGTCCACTAAATACTGCCTTGTCAGTTCTTGCCTGAGTTTCCTCTACCTCCCCTATCGCCTGCCCCATCCCTACCACACTGCCCTGTTGCCAAACTGGACTTTGCAAAACAAAACTGTGATGATGTTATTTCCATACTTAGCATTCCCTTAATGGGGATCGTGTAATAGATATTCTTAAAAAACAAAATTCAATCAAGTAAAGTTAGAGATCTAATTGGCTTTATTAAGTGATTCATGAATGGGGCAACACCCTATCTAGCAGCTAGAGGGGTTCTCTGAGAGGCTGCACAGAACACAAGGGTTTTAGAGGCACCGAGAAAGGGGGACTAAGCAGTTGAGTGGATTGTTTCAGACAAGGAGAAGGCAGGGGCTCTCACCAGGCAGATGACCTCACTAGCTCGGATTAGGAATTTCCGGACTGATTGGTTTAAAATTCCACTCCTCAGAGAGGCTGAATGTGTAATTAGGTGAGATATTAAGGGTGGGTTTGGCCCTGGCTGGTGTGGCTCAGTGGATTGAGTACCAGCCTGTGAACTGAAATGTCACCAGTTCAATTTCCAGTCTGGGCACATGCCTGGGTTGTGGGCCCGGTCCCCTCTCTTTCTTTCTCCCTCCCTTCCTCCCTCTCTAAACATAAAAATAAATAAACAAATAAAATCTTTAGGTTTGGAATCATGGGCTTTTTAGCACAAGTGATGCACTTTGGGATTTTTCTTTTTAACAATGTCAAAGAGTAATTGTCCTTGGGAGGTGGAATGCCAAAGGACTTTTACTTCCGACATAAAATGTTTCTGTATCTTTATAATACCTTATAGGCAGTGTGATTGCTTTTGTTAATAGCATTTTTTTAAATTAGCTATTGAGTGTCCTCAGATGAAAATTCAAATGCCTTTATATTTGGCGTGAAGTCCAAAACTGTGAAGGGTCTGCAATTTTTGTATGTATACACACTGACAGAAACACCAGACCTCTGGAACAGAACATTCATTACCCACAGAGCATATTAATGCTGGCTCCCCATGCCTCTGCTCCCCAGAGGTTACACAGCGAGGGCCAGATATTCACCTGTAAGTGCAGCGGGGTTTGTACCACCGGAGAGGAACCCCCACATTATGAGACTTGGAGCTCAGAGACAGCAGCTGGCCCATCTGCCCATCCTCCCTCACAGAACGCTGCTATGGAATGTAAACAACTCTGCTCTGGGGAGGTGGGGAAAGGAAAGTCTTTATCTTATCTTCATCACCCCAGAATGGCTGCAGGGAAGAGAAGCCTCTAAATCCCTTCAGAGTGTTCTATCTTTAGGTCTTATGTTCTGGCATCTTTTGCTCAGAAGATTCAGAATATGCAGGAACACTGAGAAATCCAGGGAGAAAGCTCCCAGCACAGAGCATGCCAGGCAGGAATCTCCTGCCTGTTTCTTCCCCTTGCGCCTCCTGCTCAGTGATATATATAACCAACCACCTAACTTTCACTCTTACCCCTTTGTGCCTTTGTACTTCGCTTTTTCCTGTGCCTGTAGCACTTTCCAACCGCATCTCCACCTCTTTAATTCTTTCCTTAACATTCACAACTCAGTTGTACTTTAGAAAGCTTTTCCTTTCAGGGATGGGTTAGGAGTTCCTCCTAGGTGTCCCTGTGTGGCAGTGTGCTCCCCTTTCTCACAGTGTTAATCACAGTACAGTTGTGACTATCCCCTGGAGGTGGGTTCTATTAGATGGCGAGCAACCTGAGGGCAGCAGTTTGCCTTAAAGTGAATCCCCAGGAAAAGG